CTAGAAAGTCCCTTGGAGGAAAGTCCTATGAAAATTCTTTAAACAGAATAACCATCGAAGAGGAGTGAGGATGAATCACTTACTGAGGCTGCAGCTCCTCTCATTTCTAGTTCTTGCTGTATATGATCATTGTTGACGTTAAAAAGAGAAAGGATTCTTTCTTAAAAAAAAAAAAAAAAAACCACGCCCCTATTTTCAAGGTCCCTAGAAAGTCCCTTGGAGGAAAGTCCTATGAAAATTCTTTAAACAGAATAACCATCGAAGAGGAGTGAGGATGAATCACTTACTGAGGCTGCAGCCTCAAGGGCCTTGTCCTTCCCGCTCAACAACTCTCAGTCAGCTTAGCCGCCATGATGAGTTAGCGTAGAAGACATGGCTTCGAGAACAGAAACTTATTTGTTCCCAGCTCTGGAGGCTGCAAGTTCAGAATCAAGGTGCCGGAGAACGAGGGGCCTGGAGGGAGCTCTCTCCTTGGCTGGTGGAAAACCACCTCTTCCTTTGTCCTCGTGGCAGAACGGGAGAGGAAGCTCCCGGTGCGTCTCCTTATAAGGATGGATGACCCGGTCACCTCAATTACCTCTTTATAGTTCCTTCTCCAAAGACAGCCATATCGGGGGTCAAGGCTTCAACACGTGAATTTTGGGGAGCACACATCTGTCCATAACAACAAAGCCAAGAGAGGGGATGTTGACCTCCTCTGCACGTAGGGAAGCAAGGGTCAGAGACGCTGGGCTGTTTTATGTGGACACAGCTTGGCCAGCGGCAGGACCAGATGCAACTCAGCAAGTGCAAGATCTGCACGTGCAAGATCTGCACTTGGGTTTGTCCAAGCAAGAAGTAAACCCACTGGAGTCTGAAGGACGGGAGCCTCCAGTTATCTGAGCTTCTGCTACCTCCCTGACTATTCCTCACTCCCAGAAACCAAAGGACAGATGGATCTGCTTAGTGCAACCCCCTCCACTCACTGCTACGCGCCTCCCAGCACGAGTTTGTCATCTCAGTTACTGTCACGTCCAGGGCCTCGTCGTCTCAGTTACTGTCACGTCCAGGGCCTCGGAATGGCCAAGTGGTGACCCACGGGAGCGACCCTCCCCTAATTAGCGCTGTGGTTACTATGTATAGGGATTCAATTTTCAAGAAAGTTAAGGATTTGATGGGATGTGATTTGGCTTACTGAGGGATGCTTAGACACATTTATCTCCAGAAGTCACCGTGGGGAAGCCCGTGTGAAGGAGCAGCAAAGAGTCAACTGGGTAACACCAGGGGACATTTCCCCAGCTCGGCCTCAGGTGGACACAGCCTCGTGCATGTGAGGGAGAGGGAGACCGGCAGCAGGAGTGTGGATGTTGACCACAGAGGTCAGCGGACAGACACAGAATGCCCGAGGGTCCCGGAGGAGTGGTTTTTTTTCGTTAAATGACCTACAAGAAGTCTTAGGAGGGTTTTCATTTACGTTTGTCTCAGCGATACAGACTCCTTGAATCTGTTCTAGCATCTAGACCATGGGCCTGAAGAAGCTCATAGAAAAGTTTGAAATTAGAGAAATGGAGAGGAGTGTGTATGTGAGAGGAGTGTGTGGTGTGTGTGGAGAGAGGTGCTGTGAGGGTATGAAGTGTGTGGGATGATGTGTGGCGAGGTGTGGGTGGTGTCAGGTGGCATGTGTATGTGGTGTGTGTCGGAGTTTCCTGAGGCTGGTGAATGAACTCAGTGAGGGCCTGGCAGTCTGTGCCTGAGTATCGCTCTTCCTCACATGTCCCCTCCCGCCTTCGTGTCTTACTGACACAGAGATGCCTCCCTGGCCCAGCTTTGCTGTCCCTGCCTCTACTCCTCAGGACTGCATGCCTTCATCTCCAGCTGTGGACTTTGAGGGTGCACAGGGTGACTAGGGCCCCGGGTGAGCAAGCAGAGTCGGGGAGGCATTGCTGTCTTATACAAGGGAGCTCTAGGCTCTCAGACAAACCCACACAGAGACAGAAGCATAATAACACATTCCGGAGTCAGTCACACGATCCCGTCAGGCAGGACGATTAGAAATCAGCGCTGCCTTGCCACCGAGGTGTGGCTTCTGATGTGTTCCCACGGCCTCCAGTCTGAGGCCCACGACCCAAACTCACTGCCACACCCTGAGTGCTGTCAGAGAAGGGCCCGTGCCACACTCCCTGGTGCTGCCCTCAGGCGGGACCCCTCTGGTCTCAGTGTCTCCTTTGCGTTGGGCATGAAGGACCCAGGGCCTCGAAGCCCTGGGCCACCTTTGTGAGATTCCTGAGGACTGAAATTAAAGTCCTTTCCACTGGCCTGTGATGAACAAGGCTAACTTTAGACAATGCCCACAATAATCTAGTGTGAAGGGCCTGTTTAACCTCAAGAAGAATAACGACTTTATTTTTCCAGAATATAAAATAGAATAGAGGTCCTCCCTGGTGGCGCAATGGGTTAAAGTGCAGTACTGTGCAGCCACAGCCACTTTGGTGAGAGTTCGATCCCCGCCCTGGAGCTGACCCACATGGCAGCCGACCTCTCCTGTCTCACCTTCTGCTCCCCTCAGCAGTGTGCTTCGTCCATCTGCCTGTCCTGCTCCACACTCTGACTCTGATGAATCTTCTCACCACCCCTGCACCTCTGGCCTGTACCCCAGTTCTGTATGCATAAATAATTAAATCTTTAAAAATAATAATAAAATAGAATAGAGGGTCACAAGTGCCTAAGGTAGCCCAGATGATTCCAGAAGACAGAGTGGGTGCCCTCGGGGCAGGGCAGGGCTGCAGAGTGGGCCCTGGCGGGCTGGGTCCAGCCACAAGGTGCTTGGACTCAGTGGAATGGCCGCTCACCCTGAGGTTCCATCTAACTGACATCTGGCAATTCTGTGACTTTAGAAGAGTCAGTGCGAGCGATGAGGGAACCTCATGCCCATGGACTCCCCAAAGTTGTCCATGTCCTCCGCCCATGGCCTGCACATTGTCTCGAGTGATACAAGCAGGGGGTGCCCCTGAGCCAGCAGGCTGGTGTCCTGGCCAAGAACCCAGACCGTCCCCTGCTGGGGCCTGTGGGGAGAAGAGGAAGCAATTGACATTACTGGAGTCCCCACCCACAGCGCCCCAGCCTGCCTCTAGGTCCACAGCGCCCCACCCCTTGCTTGCCTTGGGAGGATCTTGTGTAGTGTCTGCTCTGACAACGGGGGGCTGGCAGAGGACCAGAGAGGTCGGGCCCTGCCCGTGTGGAGTTTGCATTCTATGGGGTGTCACTGAGAATGCCCCCAGCTGCAGTGAAACCCAGTGATGGGGACCAGGGCCCCTCGGCTGGGGGTAGAACACACAGGATCAAGAGGGAAGAAAGAACCTTCCAGGGAGAAGGATCAGCATGTGCAAAAGCACCGAGGCGCGGAGTCCCCTGGCCCCTGTGAGTTCAGCAAATCAGAGAGGGACGAGTGTTTGGAGTGGAACTGGGGAGGGTGGAAGCTTCACAGCCCGAGGTCAGCGCGTCACTGTAGTTTATGAGGGGAGGGGGCCGTTTATGGATTTGAAGTAGGACAGGGATGTGATCCAACCCACGTGCATTTTAAAAACAGTTACAGTGGCCACACTGGGGAAGAAGGAGAAAGCAGTGTTATCATTGCTGCTTTTAGATAAATGCACTGGATCAAATGACACTTTAATGCAAGTGAAATAGAAGGGGCGTGTGACCCGAGGCATTTTGAGAGGAGGGAATGCAAAGCCACCTGAAGAGATACACGAGGTTTGGAGCCAGGGAAACGCAATTCAAGAGCATAGTAAGATGTTGTTTTGTACCTAAGAAAAGGTTCTTTAACCCTCCTGTCTGGGGCAAAACCAGGTCTTGTCCCTCCTCTCAGAAAGGACAGTTCACCTGCTCCCCCACCAACAGCCTCTCAGGAGAAGAGAGGAGGAGGTGAGAACTGTTTTCCAGAAGCTAAAGCAACATGGAGTTCCTGCCTGGACTGGCTGTGTCCCCACTGCAGGTGTTTGGGAAAGGACACAAATGCTTGGACTCAGTTTCCCCCACGTGCTCCTCACTAGGGCTGCCGGAGATGAGCGCTGCAGGCGTGGCTGCTGGGGGGCGCGTTCCACGGAGGAGGGGTGAATGCCATGTGTGATCGTAGCCTGGATGGGGCTGGGAGAGGCTGGCCGGAGGCTGGGTGCAGCAGGAGAGGGGAGAGGAAGGTAGAGCGAAGTCAGGGCAGGCGCCACTCCCGGCAGCGGCTTGGGCTTGGGCTTCGCAGGAAGGTGAAGCCTGTCCTGTCAGAGCCCATCAGCGCCATTTCAGGCCTTCTGGCTGAGTGATTGTGTTCCAAATCCCAGCGTCTCCCAGCTGCTCTCAGAAGTGAAACTGGCCCTCTCTTCTCTCGCAGAGATTACACGTCTCTATTCCATCAGCTCTTCAAAATACCTTGACCCTTGGCAACAATATCCTAGTCACCTACAAACAACTCACTGCCCACCCTGGCCACATCCACCTTGAACGAAGACTCCTCTAAGGAAGAGGGAGGCCATCGTGCCAATGGGGGCGATGGCAGCCAAGGACACCGTGTTGGGGACGGGGACCCCACTGAAGAAGGAAGCTGAGCGGGGAGGCTCAGGTTTCAAGACCATAACTCGTCCTGCTTAGCTTTGTCCTGCTAGATGGCCACGGCTGGGCACTTCAGCTGCACGTGAACTTTAACTTAACACCTGGAACTTTGAAAGTCCAGTCTGGACCACTGAGGAAGGACAGAGGCAGCTAGGACAGGAGTCCTCTCGATTCCAGGGCAGTGAATGTGGAGGCGACGAGGCTGCAGGAGGTGCCTTCAGTGGAGAGGTGCTGAGTCGATGCCAGGGTCCCACACACGTGGTTCCCACAAGTAGCTCACAGTCCTGGCTTCCCAGAAAGTGTTAATCCCGCAAGGGGGACACAAGTGAAAAATGGGGACATTGTTCTTTCTGCCTGGGGAGTAATGTAAGGCTTCTGTTCCAAATCCCTTACATATATGGAAGGATCTAGACCAGCGTTCACAGAACAAATCAGCATCATTTCTAGTTGTTATCATTGTATAATCATTTAGCTGCAGGGAAAACTACCAGAACTTTTATTGATATTTAATTTAAAAGAGATTAAGATTTGCCTGCTTATACTCTGTTAGCACTGGTAATCATACCCATATGTATGTTTATGTATTTTAATATCTACATTAATTTTGCATACTCTCCTACTACAAATAGCCAAGTTTATTGAGCACTTGCTATGGGCCAGTGAATGTTCTGAGGGTTGTGCAGGAGTTAACTCATCTACACATAACAATTCTGTGACAGGAAGCTACTATTAGCTTCCTGTTGAGGACAGTGGGAACAGAGGTTGTGTAACGTACCCAGAATCTCACAGCTAGTAAATGGAAGGTCTGAGTTTGAACTCGGGGATCTAGCTTCTGAGTTCCTCAGCTATGTGCCTCTTATATCCATATGTTGACCATATCTGCTCAAACAAATGAAAATAAACAAATATATATATTTTTAAATCAATGTGTGTGCATGTGTGTGTGTGTGTGTGTGTGTGTGTGTATAAGCGGGGTTGGTGGGGTGAAAGTTTATATGACCAGTTAAGTGTGGATGACCCAAAGATGTTGTCCAGAGCCGTCTATTTCATGGGACTGGGATGGGTGCAGACTGATGGCTCCTGACTTGTCCTCTTGCTTCCACAGCCCACCCCGAGAGAGCTGCCCTCCTGTTCGTGTCCAGCGTCTGCATCGGGCTGGCACTCACGCTGTGTGCCTTGGTATTCCGAGTCTCCTGCACCAAGGATTTCCACGATCTGCAGCTGGCACGGGGGCACCGGGTGCCAGGAAGCGACAAGGCCCAGGAGGACAGTGAGGAAGAAGACGGGGAGGAGGACTCCTCTGGCTCTGATTTCCTAGGGGACCTGTCGGGGTTTTGTAGAACTTCATATCCTGTCTACAGTTCCATTGAAGCTGCAGAGCTAGCAGAAAGGATTGAGCGCAGGGAGCAGATCATCCAGGAAATATGGATGAACAGTGGCTTGGACACTTCACTCCCAAGAAATGTGGGCCAATTCCACTGGAAGCCAGATGCGTCTTGATGGTTTCACACTTCCTTAAGAGGGAAGGATCCCAAATGCCTCTCTGATTCTGTTTCACTTGTACCTTCTATGAAGGAGAATTTGTCATGTCATCCGATGCTGGTGAAGCCGGAAAATTATTATGAAAGGGACATTTGAAACTGTTTACAGCACACTTCAAAATAAATTCAGAGGGAAGAAGCCTATTTTCTGTGTTTATTTAAATTCGTGTCCAGATGTTAACATAATAGAGTTCACATTTACTGAGCCGATCAGGGCCAGGCACTGTTCTAGCTGCTTGTCATGACGTAAATCTGTTAATCCCACAATGGTGCGTGAGAAACTGCCGTTACTGTGCACTGAAACCCCCCCCATATCAAAAACACACAGGACAGCAATCACACGCTATTCTCTGTGTGTTCCCTGGGGGTGGATTTTAAGCATTGTTAGTTATTTAGGTACTGTTTTTTCTTAGGGCAAGAGTATAAACATTTCAGACATCGTGAATGATGCTATAACGACTCCCCTCTGCTACTGTATCTGAAAAATCAGCCCTAGCTAAAACATAACGGATGTGGCTGTGTGCCAATAAAACTCTGATTTATGGACACAGGGATTTGAATTTGATTTCATTTTGACATGTCATATATTATTCTTGTTTTTCTCATTTACAAATGTAAAACCTTTCTGAGCTCATGGCTTTACAAAAACAGGCAGCCAGTTTTCACCTGATTTTATAATCTGTCAGTACTAGAATCAGGTGTGGTCCTGGAAACTGAAACTATTTATTCTCTTGCCCTTTATAGGAAGAGCTTACCCACTGGTTTAAAGTCTAAAACTTACCGCTTCTGGTGGAGGACCCAGCAGTCTGGTAGGCAAAGATCAAGTGGAATTACTTGACAAATCACTGCAGAAAATCAGTCTTGTCCTATTGGGGGAAAAGAGAAGATAAAGAAGGAAAAGGAGTTAAGGAAACAGACTCCTGATTGGAGAAGAGTGATGGTCTCCTCTGGAAGGCTCCCCCTGGCGGACAGGAAGCTTATAGCTATGAAGTAGAAAGAGAAACCTTTTTTTTCTGGCCCCAGTGGGCCTTAGAGTATCAAAGATGATGGCGTGTTCTATCTGTCTCCTATGTGTTCTCTGAAAGAGCTCTCCTTGCCTTATCTTACTGCATCGTCACATCTACTCTGCAAACAGGGTATGCCAATGAAGGTGCTGAAGACTGGCAGGTAGAGTGCTGTGGCCCAAGTGTACCTGCAGGAAGTTTGAGGTGTGGATGGCGAGTCTACCTCTCGTCAACCAGCCCAACTGTCTATATTGGGACAAATCTGCAGTTTTCTTAGTTTTTATTCAGTTTGTCTTAGCTCATTTGCACCGCTGTAATGAAAAAGCATAGTGTGGGTGACACAGAAATTTATTTCTCAGTGTCTACTGGGAAGCTGCCAGTAGAGTTATGTCTGCTGAGGGCTGGCTGCCTTGCTCATCGAGGGCCATCGTTTTGCTGGGTCCTCACATGGCAGAAGGGGAGGGAGCTCTCCCGGGTCTCTTTTAGAAGGGCACTAATCCCATTCACGAAGGCTCCGCTCTCATGATCTTAAAACCTCCGCATACCATCATACTGGGCTTTGGGATTTATCAGGGATTTTGAGGGAACACAAACATTCAGTCTGTAACAGGGCTGAGAGTTTACAGTGTTATCAGATAGTGCAGTTGACAGAGTGTTTCAGGCAGTGCAGCTGACACATTCACAGTGGAGTGAGCCCACCAGATCTCTAACTAGTCCCAGAGCAACTGAAACTCCCTCCCCATAGCAGCCATTTCCCACTTCTTCCTTCCTCCAGCCCCTGGCAACCACCATCTGCTTTCTGTCTGTTTGCATTTACCTGTTCTGATAATCCCTATAAATGGCATCTGTATTGGAATAATTAATTTTGTGACTGCCTCATGTCAGTCTCCAGAATCATCTGCCATGGAGCGCACATTCTGCAGCATCTCATTCCTTGTTATGGCTGAGCATAGTTGACTAATATTGTGTGGACTCACTGATGGGGGAAAGAGTGCAGGCAGGCATCACAGGGCTGAGTCGCACAAAGGGGACAGGTAGAAGGGGCCAGTGCAGCAACTGACACAGCCAGGCTCCCAGGGAGTGAGCCCCTCCCAGAGAGAAGCTGTCTACATCAGGGCAGTCTCTGCACCAGCACGGGCAGCCGCTTCTCTGCCCACCTGTGGCTATGCGGGTGCTTCTATCTACCTGCTCTCCCTCTGCAGGGCAGCAGCCTCCTGCCCGCTAGTGACCTGCACCTGCCGGGACCGCTCTGCACAGCCTCCCCCACTGCAGGCCGCTTTCCTAGGCCGCCCGCCTGCAACCATGCAGGTGTCTGTCCCTTCTGGAGCAGCTCTTTCTGCCCACTTGCGCCTATGCAAGTGTCTTTTCTTTTCCTGTCTCTTTCTAATAAACTTTCTTTTTAAATATAACTGAGTCTCTGTCTTGTGGAGAATCTCCCTGTATGCAGCCGAAAGGGGAGCGCTGGTGAAATCTTCCCCAGAGTGAACCCAAGGACCCCGAACGCCAAAAGACGACATCAATACCGCCACACCGCCTTCTGTTCAGTCACTTATGAGTTGGTAGAACCTGGATGGTTTCTTCACCGTGGCTATTGTGAATGATGCTGCTGAAATATCTGTCTGTGGTGTCTTAACCGCAGTGAAAAGTCACACAACTGACAACCGCAGACCGAAACACTGTCCCAGTTCAATGGCAGGGGAGGAGTGATGGTGAGTCGGAGCAACAACCTCCTTTCATCCCCTGCTTTAGCCAATTTCAAAATGAGTTTCTCTTACACTGACCCCCAGGTGGGAGAGAAAGGGTCATTCAAGGGGGAGTGTCATGAGGTTGGGCAGGGCTGCTTTGAGCAGCAGCTGAAATCCCGCAGGATTTCAGGTACAGGAGACCTCCAGCCTAATTGGGGCGGGGAGGTTGACAAGTAGGAGCAATGACTTTCAAATCTGTGGGCAGGTGAAATCTCTTGTAGGTCACAGAGTGAAGTCCACCCAGGGTCTTTGCCTGACCCCATGAGGATAGAGTTTGAATTAAAAAGCTTCCCATGCTCCTGGGAACCCTTAGCTAAGTCCTGCGCCAGCCCAGGGTCTTACCACTGCCTCTTGCTCACGCCCAAGGAACACATCTTTCCTGGCCCAGGAACAGAGATACCTTCCATCAGTCTTGGTGAAGGGCACAGCTGCTGAGGGTCTGAGACCCCTTTAGAGAAAGAGGTGGGTGCGCACCGGTTTCAGGCATCAAGCTTTTGCTTGAATCCCACATGGGTTCTCCCTCCTTTGAGTCCTTTTTCCCTCACCCCCAGCCCTGCCAGTGCCTGCCCCTGGAGCCCCCAGAAGGCAGTGAAGCACAGGCTGCCAGAGGAGGGGCCATCTTGGGGCTGTGCAGAGAGAGAGAGAGTTGTTTATTCGCATTTTCTTCGCCTGAAAGAATGCTCTGTTGTTCTCACTGACTGTGGTCCCGCTGAGAGTGTTTGGATGGGCGCCCAGCCCAGGAGGGAAAGGACCAAACCAGAGTTGGACAAGGGACTGCTGACAGAGCGTGTGGCTGGAGGCGCTCTCGGGCGCAAGTCCCAGGGTGCTCGGTCTGCGCAGAGGCCACCAATGCCCGACGTTGTGCATCTCTGGGAACAGACACCCCGCTAATTCAGCTGTGGGGTCCTGGGAGTGCTTCGGTGGGTGGTTTGCACGTGCCACTTGGTTCCTGGCTGTGAGTGCTGGCGTTCAAGGCGGGAGCGCCGATACAAATTCAGCCCTGTGGTTTCACCCAGTTTCTTGGGGTGGAGGCTGGGGGAGCTGCTGGTGCTTTGTGGACGCTGGGATTTCGGGGGTTGGAGGTACACTCCCCAGGGTGAAGCGAGCCTGTGAACAGTCTCACACGCTGTCTGCCCCACAAATGGTGTGTACCCCCACTCCATCCCTGTACCAGGCAGGGCCCCAGGGTCAGAAGTTCAGCTCTCCAGAGAAGTGTCTCTGCACCACCTCTGTCTCAGTTTACTCTGTGACAAAAATATCATGGGCTGGGAGCTGATTAGCAGGACAGTGTGTTCCTCAGTTGTGGAGGCTACAAGTCCTGGCTCAGGAGCCTGCATAGGGCCCCCTCCTGGTTGGCTACGCTTTCACAGGGACAGGGGGCTCTGGGTCCCTCTTAGAAGGCACTAATCCTTTTCATGGGGCCTCACCCTCCTGACCTCACCACCTTCCAAAGCCCGACCTCCTCACACCACCTTGGGAGTTAGGATCCCAGCGCTGAAGGTGGAAGATACAACTGTTAGAAACATCAGAGCGGCCCTCCCTGGTGGTGCAGCAGGTTAAAGCACAGCGCTAAGAAGCTAAAGCCACTTCAGCACCAGTTTCATCCCTGCCCCAGAGGTGACCCACATGGCGCGGCAGACCTCTCTTGACCCACCCGCTGCTCCCCTCAGCAGTGTACTTGGTCAGTCGTCCTGTTCTGCTCCCCAATGTCTCTGGTGAATCCTCTCACCATCTCTGAGCCTCTGGCCTGTACCCCAGTTCTGTATGCATCTTAAAAAAAAAAGTGATTTTCTTACAAGTCCTTCTCCCAGGAACATTGCTCCCACACATCCCCCTATGGGTCTCCTGGGTGGACTAAGTCATCCAGCGAGGGGTCTGTGTACGGGGGTTCTGTGGATGAGACACCTGTGCGGCTCCAGATCAGCCCACACAGCTGCACACTGTCCCTGCAGCCTCAGTGGGAGCAACCCTAAGGAACCCCCCCGCCACTAGCAAGTATTGTCAGGGAGCAGCCAATCTTGGTACTCATGGAATCTGTGAGTCTTAGAAGGGGGTGCTTATAAGAGGCCCCCTTCAGTCAGTCTCCTCATTTTCTGTGGCAACCAGAACTGGACTTGGGGGTCCTGCCTCGAAAGCAGTACTGCCATCATTTTCCTGGGACTGGCCCCTGCCCAGCATCTCACACTATCCAGCAGGGACCTCCAGAAAAACACAACCCCCCGGATCTTCCTCTACTTCAGACCTGAGTACCAACATCAACAAGACTGGCTGCGACTGCACCCCAGCCCCACTCTTAGGGTCCCCCTGCCAGAGTGCACCACCCTGCCTCCCAGCGTCTGTCCTAGCTTGGCCTTGGATTCCTCATCTGAAACAGGCTTAGCAATAGCACCTCCCTCCGAGAGTGACGTGGGGTACACAGATGAAAACAGCAGTCGCGATGCAAGCTTCTGTCTTTACTTGTTTCTCGTAACCCAGCAGAGCCTGTGCAGAACTCAAGGGCCAAGGGAAAACAGGCTGCTGGGCGCTCAGAGCGCCGCAGGAGGCCCAGCAGCTTGCGGAGAAGGGAAACTGTGGTCTGCAGGCGCAGAGGAAGGTGTCAAGGACGGGCCTTCTCTGAATGCTTCAGCCAAGTCCATTGTGGAGTCTCCCACACGTGGACTTTAAAGGCTGGGCCTGGTTTGGCAGCGGAACTGTATCAACCCGGAACTGTGGTCATTTGGTTTCAAAAGCCCATTGTCGGCCTGACCACCGCTGTAGA